TTGAGGAGACCCCCAAGTCAAAGCCATGGGGCTATAACATGGCAAAGCCTGAGGTCTGCTAGGACTGCGTCTCATAAAAGGTAACCTGCTCAAGGGAGTGACTATCCCCCACCACGTTCACAAATGCTGTCTGAACCCAAGGGAAGGGATACTGTAGCACATGGACCAAGAGACAGGAGTCTGGGGGCTGTTGTTGTATACTGCCATTGCTGTCATTTATTTTCTGTCTGTGACATTGGAGAAATTCACACTGTCATCTAGTTCCATGGTTCTGGATTCCACTTAGAGATCCAATACCCAGATCTATGACCCCTATCTACCTGCCTACCAGTTATCTCTATTTGAGTGCCCGATGGGCCTTCTGTTAAAATCAACAGAAGCAAACAATGGATTCCTTTATGCCAAGATTATTTTTGGTTGGATGTAACAGAAAGTTGACTAGGTTTCTTAAACAAGTGAGAGATGATTCTTATATAGCAACAAAACTAAAAGCGGGCAGGTCAAGTTGATGTAGTAATTCCTCAGTATCCATGTTCCAAGCTCCTTTTTTTTTTTTTTTTTTTTTTTTTTTTTCTTTTTTTAACCTTTGTACCTGCCTTGCATCCTTCTGGTTATAATGTAGCTGCTGTCCCTCCAGCCTTGTTTCTGCATTTCTGTCAGATTGAAGGGCCATTTTCTTTTTTCTTTTCTTTCTGTCTTTCCTTCTTTTCTTTTTTTTTCTTTTCCTCTTCTTTTTTTCTTTTCTTTGTTCTGAGCATCTCTTCTTTCTCCATACCCCCACAGCCTCTACTTGTCCTATTTCCACTAAGCCACCCTGGTCTTTTGCCTGGATTTCTTCTGCAGAAGCTTCTGACCAGCCTCCTCGCATTGACTCCTGCCCTCTTATAGTGCATCTTGCTTGTGAAATCTAGCATGACCTCCTCAAAGAAAATTTCTATGAGGTCATTCCCTTGCTGAAGACATTCACAAAGCTTCCCATATAAGATGAACACAATTTCCTACGTAGCCTCCAAGGCCCTACAGTGTGCAGTGCTGCCGCCTCCCTGAACCCGTCTCCTCCTGGCTGTGTCCCGAACACCAGGCTTGGCCCCTGCTCCCCATTGCTCCATCTGCTGTAACGTTCCTTCGCCAGCTCCTCACCTGGCTCCCCACCTGCGTGATTCCCATCACTCCTCAGACATTCCCATCTCACAAGCTCCCACCCCTTTCTGTTACTATCTGTGCCCACCCTGTTTTATTACCTCGTGTATTGTTTCTCGTCTTTTCCTGGTATGTGAGCCCCACACGCACGAGGAGTATCTCTAGCACCGGACTGACATGGAGGAGAGGCTCAGTGTCTTCTGCTCCATGACCGCCTTAAGGGGCTCTTGCTCCCCCCTGGAACTGATCTTTTCTAATAGAGGATTATCTCCTTGATCATTCATCTTCCCTGTATTATCTACTGCATGGAAGCAACCTTCTCCCAGAAAGTCCCCTCTCCAAATCTGCTGTCCTGCGATTCCCTTCCTCACATGGATGGGGCAGAGCTTTGAGTCTTCTTTCTCTTCTTTGCTTTCAGCTGTTTTCTGGAGTTACAGCCTCAGCTTCCTTTGTATAGAAGAAGCCATAGAAGGTCAAGGTGCCCAGTGGGTTCTTAATCTGAAGATCTGTATGAAGTCATATAATTCTTCCATCATTTCTTTGAGAATTTCTTTTCTCCTTTATGGAATGCTTATTGATTTTTTTTTAATTAAACTTCCTGGATTAATCCTCATAGTGTTTTTCTTTTCACCTAACTTTGCTCTCACTCTCTTTTGTTGTACAGTTTGAGAGACGTCCATGATTGTATGTTCTGCCTCTTTTAACTTTTTACGTCCGCCTCGTGTTTTTTTATTTTCTAAAAAAATTCATTCTTTTTTTTTTTTTGTAATAGCAACCTCTTCTTGTTTTATAGAAGCAATATCTTCTCAAAAAAAAAAAAAAAAAAAGAAGAAGAAGAAGCAATATCTTCTCAAATCTCCCTGCAGGTACTAAGTAGATATCAAAGATCTCCTCTGTTACTTGTTTTCTTTGGAGTTCATTGTTCCACTTGTTTTTCTTGTTCTTTCTTCTTTATAGTGCTGTCTTTGCTGAAATAGCTAGCCTCGGTTGCCCATCCAACTAGAGGAATTATTCATGGTGTTTGTCACTGGTACCTCTGCCTTGGGTATGCTTGCCTGGTCCCTCTGTAGGGTGTGTCAGCTGGAGGGGCGTCGTCATAGGGAGTGAGAGGAGAGAGCCAGCTGTTAGAATGGGGTCCCCACGACAGGATGAGTAGAATGGGATGCCATCGTTCTGCCCATATCTTTCATTCATTTTCCTGAGGGACACTGACCCTTTTTTATGGGGTAGGGGTATGAGTGCTAGAGATGCAGCCTGGTTGCTAGCCCCTTGCTTATGGAGGGTAAGGGTAGAGTGTCCATTGGCACGAACCATGATGCTGTGTCATCCCTCTTCTTGGCTCTGCCCTCCTCTTACACCAGTCCCGAGCACAAATCTCTCAAGTCTGCTGAGAAGACGGGGGTCTCCACTCTTTGTGATTCCTTTCTTGAGGTGGCCTGGCCAGGGGCTTCCTCCTCTCTGTTTTCTTCATTGACATACTCCTGCTTTCTGTCTTTGTAGAAAGTTCTTAATCTCTTGGTAATTACTTCTTCTCTGCCCCTTTGGTTTCATTCTTCTATATCCCATTACCTTTGGCTTTTTGCCTTTTTTTTTCCTTTCTTTTTTGGAAGTCTATCAGAATTAAATTCAGGTACATAAAACAGAAAGTCCAAATACCAGTACCCCTCCCTTGCTTCTGGGACCTGTAATAAATCTTGTGACTCTATGTCCCTTCTGTGGGTATAATGAAACTGTACCTTTAGTCAAAACAAGCCTGTGGGGTTCATTTCCCCAGTGTGGGAGCTCAGATGCTCAGGGCTTGTGCCCCCCCCTCAGCAGGTCATAAGCTATATATATATATATTTTTTTAAGGTTTTCTTTTCTTTTCTTTTTAAATAAGATTTTATTTATTTATGCATGTGTGTGAGAAAGAGAGAGAGCAAGCACAAGCAGACAGAGAGGCAGGCAGAGGCAGAGAGAGAAGCAGGCTCCCTGCTGAGCAGAGAGCCTGATATGGGACTCCATCCCAGAACCCTGGGATCATGACCTGAGCTGAAGGCAATGGCTTAACCGACTGAGCCACTTAGGCATCCCTAATCTGTATATTCTTAATCAGCTCTGGCTTCTCACTACTACAGTCTCAGTAGGTTTTCCAAGTTTTTAATTAGAACATTAAACTTCATTCTGCTTTAGTGAGTGTATCAGTTTCAATATTGCTGCTGTAACGTATTAACATAATCTTAGTGGCTTAAAACAAGACAGATTTACTTTTCTACTCTTCTTTTTTTTTAATTTTTAATTTTTTACTTTTCAGTGTACCAGAATTCATTGTTTATGCACCACACCCAGTGCTCCATGCACTACGTGCCCTCCATAATACCCACCATCAGGCTCACCCAACCTCCCACCACCCGCCCCTTCAAAACCCTCAGATTGTTTTTCAGAGTCCATAGTCTTTCATGGTTCATCTCCCCCTCCAATTTCCCTCAACTCCCTTCTCCTCTCCATCTCTCTATGTCCTCCGTGTTATTCCTTATGCTCCACAAATAAGTGAAACCATATGATGACTGACTCTCTCTGCTTGACTTATTTCACTCAGCATAATCTCCTCCAGTCCCGTGCATGTTGATACAAAGTTATGATGTTTACCCTTCTTGAGGTCAAAAGTCTGAAATGAGTTTCACTGGGCTAAAATCAAGGCATCAAGAGGCTAAAGGAAGTATTCGTTCCCCTTCCTTTCCAGCTTCTAGAGATCAGCTGGGCTCTGGACCCTTCCTCTGGGGTGAAAGCCAACCATAATAGCATCTTCCAGACTCTCCCTGACTCTGACCCTCCTGCTTCCCCCTTACAAGGAATCTTACTATTACACTGAGCCCACCTGGATCATCTAGGAGAGTCACTCCATTTTAAGACCCCTAATTTAATCACCTCTGTGAAGTGGCTGGCCATGTAAAATAAAGTAACATTCACAGGTTAGGGTGTCAATGTCGTAGACAGGCTGTGCCTACCACAGGCAGCTCTAACTCAAGTTCCAAAAGAATTTTCCTTTTTTTTTATGTGGTTCTTTCAGACTGCTGCCCAGAAAGGCTTAGCAGAGAACCATGATTTTTCTTGAACAGATTTTGGACCTAATTCTTAGAAGCATTGGAAGCATCAGTCTTTCTCTTTTAAAAAGCTAAAGTTCATTCTGTTCCAGACTTTTGAGAAACTTTCCAAATGGTGTGGTCTAGTTTGCATGGCATTTCCAGCGGGATGGTTATAAACATTGCATTTTATTTGACTTTTTACATGAACTAATATGTAGAAAGTTTTTTCATCAGAAAAGTACTTCTGAGCAAAATTTCTTTCTATTAATTGATTTTGGAAATCCTAAACTACTTTACCTCCATAATGATGCATTCACTGAACTTTTTTTTTTTGTATTTACTGAACATAAAATTTTTCAGAAAAAAAATAATTCTAGTGTGAAATACTAGATGATACCCAACCATAACTACTACCAGAAACCCAAAACTCTTACTCTGAAACCAGAACATTTAGGATAGCTAAATAATTTCTTAAAGATTTATTTTATTTTATTTTATTTTATTTATTTGAGAGAGAGAGACTCTCCGGCAGGCTCTGCTGAGCAGGGAGCATGACACAGAGCTTGATCCCTGGATCCTGAGTCAAGACCTGAGCTGAAACCAGGAGTCAGACCTTCAACCAACTGAGCCACCCAGGCGCTGCTGAGAACTTTTTAACAAAATTTAAATATAATTACATTTTCTTCTGTCTTTTTATTGGAGATTGTAGTGGTTCATTTTCTTTTATTGGCTTTCCCCCCTCAAAGAATGTGTTTATAGCTGAGACTTTTTTTTCCCCTGTTTCTGTCTTTATAGCTGAAGAAATGTATAAAAACTCCAGAAATCCCTTCTAAACATGTTAGGAACTGGGTCCCAAAGGTCTTGGAACAACGGCGACAAGGTTTGGAAACATACTTACAGGTAAGACGTGTTTAGATCTTCGGTTAATATAATGTAGCTTAAATAAACTTGTATCTCAATATTTTATTCTCACAACTTATGGTGAGATGCAAAGTACATCAAGCAGTCAAACATTCTCGATTAAAATAAAAAAGGTTTAAAATTATAAATATGTTGTTGGTTCTTTCAGCTTTAATCAGCTTCTATTTGTAATAATGTGAATGGAGGAAGTGAAAATTGCATGTCACTGTAAAAACCAATGGAGAGAAGGTCTGTCCATTTTTTTCAGTTCAGCTCTACACATTACTGCATCTTTGGGTTTTTGTTTTGTTGTTTTGTTTTGTTTTCTCTCCAAGATTTGTTGCTTTCTCCTAGCATTTGCCGAGCTATGGGGTTTGGGTTGCTGGGGACATAGAGAAACTGAATTTTTGTTGGGTCTGTCTAGTCCATCTGTGGAATCATGTTGAGAATTGGAGTATAAAAATTGCCTCTGATGAAGGACCGACCTTGAAAATTAGAATGTGTGCTTTTAAAAGAATGCGTTCACATGCTCTTTTCTGCCACTGAGAGGAGCAAGCAGAACTACGGAAGTTGGAGGATAAGACAACAACTTGTCTGGAGTAAAAAGGAAAAGCAAAAGGAAGGTTGGAACAATGTCATCTTCTCTGTTTTGCTTTTTTTTTCTCTCTCTCTCTCTTTTTTAAGATTTTATTTCTTTATTTGATGGAAAGAGAGAAAGAGCAAGCACAAGGGGAACACAGTCAGGGGCAGTGGCAAGCAGAGGGAGAAGCAGGGAGCCTGATGCGGGACTCGATCCCAGGACCCTGGGATCATGACCTGAGCCAAAGGGAGAGGGTTAACTGATGGAGCCACCCAGGCGCCCCTGTTAGTTTCTCGGCTTTAAAATACAAAGGGCAGAGGCTTAGTATGAATATTCTATGTCCTAGTTGATCCACAGAGCACCACAGAGGGCAGGTGCTGGGACGGCTCAGGCCAGGTGCTCAGCCACGACACTGATCCCCTGAGAGAGATGCGTGGGAATGACCCAGTGAGTGTGACCGAGGGGATGAGGAAGAAAGAGCTGGACCTCACCCAAGGGTTACGGCTTAGCCATGATGATCTCTCCCTCTGAGACATGTGATGTCGCAGAAACAGCAGCTCATACTGTGCTTTCCACGAATAATACCGTGCGACCCCTTTAAGCTTTCACGCCAGAATAGATGCTGTGTAGATGGGTCACTGTTGGCTCTGGGAAGCCAGCACACTGTGTGCGTGACAGACTTTCTGGATGGTTGTGCCTGAATCGCTCTCGGTTAGAAGTTGTGGAGAAGCTGGCCCCGCAGGCTTGTACTCGGTGGTAAATTCAGATGACTCTCTCCCAGTACAAAGATGCCAGGAGTCTCTTGGTGGCCTTGTCTAGTCTTCCTGTCTTGACAGCATTCAGCAAGGCCTGCTGAAGGCCTGGAGAGCATCTGAGGAGGGTTGTCTGTACTGTTCTTGTGCTGCTTTGGGGCGCTGTGGACAGACCCTTTCCTGCATCTCTCTGGAAGCGGGAGATGAAAGGAGACAGGGCCACAGATGACAGGAACGTGTGTGGCGGCGTTTTTGAGGCTGTGTATACAGGGCTGTGAGACTTCCAGAGATCCTGGCAACACTATCAGGCAAAACCAAACCAAAAAAACCACGAGACTTTAGACGTTGTATGCAAAGGGTAAGAATTCATGTTCTCTGTAATTAAATGAAATAGGTAAACAATGCATGCTTATAGGCCACATTTTCCACAGATATTGTATATCTTCAGGCTTTCACTGTGAAGTGTGCTCCTCTTTTTCTTCCCGCTGAATTTGACACATGACTTCCATTACCCCTCAGTGTAAACAGTTTAAGTTTGTACTTTGGATGTAAATATGGAGATAAAATCATCTGGCACAGAGAGGAGTTTACAATGACTCTCAAATTGAGCTTAGAATTTTCTATTCTCAGAAATAGGGCTTGAAAGATGTGGTTGGGGACCGAGAGGGCTTGCTTCCTGTCATGCATTTAATATTCATTTTCTTGTCACTCGGGTCCCCAGGGAGGTCCAAGGAGCTCTCTCATCTCCCTTCTCTTCCTGATTCTGTTTGCGGGCAGTGGGAGTTGGGTGGAAGTTGCAAAGATGATTGGGAATGCTTTATCAATGTCAAATGAAACGAAAACCCTGGGTCGCATGTCAGTTTTGGACACCTTTTGATGTTCAAGTCTCTGTAGGAGTAAGACAGTCTCGGCGTGCGCTGGACAGGATGGCCCTGTTCTGGCCGGTAAAACTGAGAAGGTGTTCACAGCCCACCGCCGTAGCACCTAAAGCTCCTGGTGACATTAGAATGCTTTCTAGTCCGGTCTGCCTCTTGCCTCTCAGTTGTGCTCAGGATTATTTTTCTGGCCTCAGTTTCCCAATGATAGAACAGGCAGATTAGCACTTGAGAGGGCCACAGAAAACAACTGTGCCCCTTGTCCAAAGATCGGCTAGTACCTTCAGGACCATGGGGGAGTGTGACAGCATTCCCTAAGGTTGCCCACACTGATCTTCTATTTTAGCGATGGAGAAACTGAGCTCTGGTGTGGTTACGAAACCTGCCTCGCTCCCTGGAGTTCATCAGTTAAAGACCTGGATTGAAATTTTAGTTTCTTAATTCCCTGGAGGCTCTTTTCATTCTGCATTGTGGATTTCCTAATGTCTCAGCCTTGACATAGTTTCACGGAAGGATATATTTATTAATAATCATAAAAGAAAAGGCCCTATAATCATAAACGGTCACAATTTAATTAACTGCCCCTCGACTCCCTTGATAGATTGGTGATTTTTTTATTTTGTTTTTGTTTCTGTTTTGTTTTGTTTTTATTTTGATCGGTTATTTTTTAAATCTGTAACTTGAATATGTAGAATCCTGTGAAAAGTGTCAGCTTACATCTGTTTTCCCTGTTAAGTTATCTGCAGAGAAACCCACATCTTAAGAAGAATATATTACGTTGGGGGGGGCGGTCCCAAAGTGATTTGGCCCTCGGGCATGGTTTATAGAATACATCCTGTTTTTTGTTTTTTATGGTTTTTTTTTTAAGATTTAATTTATTTGACGGAGAGGGAGAGCACAAGCAGGGGGAGTGGCAGGCAGAGGGAGAGAGAGAAGCAAGCTTCCTGCCGAGCAAGGAACCCATTGCGGGGCTCAATCCCGGGACCCCTGGGATCATGACATGACGCGGATTCCTAACCAGCCGAGCCATCCCAGAATACATCCTGCTTTGAGATGACTTCCCGTTTTTCTTGAGACCCCCTCTGAAATAAAAGTACAAAAACTCCATAAGGAATGAACCTCTACAGGTCCATGCATGGATAGGCGAGGGGGAAATGGATCATCAGAGGACGAAAAATTTTTAACAACTTTCGAGAAGATGGAATGTTCTGCTAGTGCATGGATGGATACAGCAGAGAGCAGAAAGCAGCAGCACCGAGAGCCTGTGGTAGAGGCAGGAGGCTACCTGCCCGTGGCTTTGCTGGAGAATTTCTGGTTTCAGAATTGGCAGGTGCAACTGAGAATCAGTGGGGCCATTCAGAGTGCACACATGGGACAGGTGGCCCGGCCACTTGTTCTCTATAGAATATAGGCAGCCTGATGTTTGTGACTGGGCCAAAAATATTTTCAAAGACTTTTCTCTGCAAAACAAAACAATACACCGAGATATTAAGTAGAATGACCATGGAGAGCTAAGGCTTCTCGTATAGATAGTAGGGCCCCCAATTCACAACCCTGTCCCTGCCAACTGAGCCCGGAGGACAGCTGACCACATTGCACGCTCCGCCCACAACGTCTTTCCATGTGGAAGGAGGTCCGACAGAGCCACAGAAGAAAACCCACACACACCCCGCCGCCCACTGCTTTCTTCAGGGAGATCTGATAACCAGGGATCACCAGGCCTTTGAAGAACAAAAAAGACCGAGATGAACTGAACCACTGGCTTGTCAGCATAGAGATAATTTACAACACAAAATGTCCCCAAAATTGGCTTAATAAATCTAGAGAGCTGCCCCAAAGCCTTACACCCAAAAGGTGACACTAGGAAATTATAAGTCGAGCGGTCAGGGACACAGAGGAGTTCTTGGGATTTGTTGTGTCCTCCCACTGGAACTATTACGTAGCTGCTCTCCATTTGGGAAGCCGTTCCCAAAAGTACAGCTACAAAATCTCTCCATCAAAAGATAAGACACTGCAGATCTATCCAGGTCTAACATTCTGGAGTCCTAGAAAGAAAGAAGAGGGGAAACCACCCAAGTAGAGGAGGGGATAATCAAAGGAAAATAGTTGACCATTTCCCCAAGCTGGCAGCTGGGAGCTTTTAATGGAGACAAGGTGCAGAGCATCAAGAATGATGGAAACCGGGGCGCCTGGGTGGCTCAGTGGGTTAAGCCGCTGCCTTCGGCTCGGGTCATGATCTCAGGTCCCTGGGATCAAGTCCCACGTCGGGCTCTCTGCTCGGCAGGGAGCCTGCTTCCCTCTCTCTCTCTCTCTCTGCCTGCCTTTCCGTCTACTTGTGATCTCTTTCTGTCAAATAAATAAATTTAAAAAAAAAAAAAAAAGAATGATGGAAACCCACCAAAGCTTAGACACATTGGCAAAATATCAGTATGTCGGAGATGAAGATCCATCCATACTCTTCCAGAAAAGAAAAACAAAGTGTGGTCAAGGTTGAGGTTCATTGGTGGATCCATTTCCTTATCTGAGGCTGGCTTCCTAGGTGGGTCCTTCTCTTTTCGTCCGTAGCAACGTGAAATTGCTAGCTGGCTTGGTTTTTAGACAGCCATGGTCTGTGGGAAGTTTGCATTCAGACCTTGTTGCATCTGTTGCAATACTGAGAGATTTACGTTTCTGAGAAAGGGACCCACGTGGTAGGTCACTTCCTTGAGAACAGCAGAGGCTTATGTTTCCCTCTTTTTCCTAAGGAGGGAACCACAGTTAAATATACAGGGAGGGGCAGCTGGGTGGTTCAGT